TGTGTGTGTGTGTGTGTGTGTGTGTGTGTGTGTGTGTGTGTGTGTGTGTGTGTGTGTTTGTAGTGTGTGTAGTGTGTGTAGTGTGTGAGGGTGGGGGGGGCAGGATTCAGGGTGTACACAGCCGTGTAGTGAGATAAGAAGTTGCGGGATTGTAAAGTCGAGTGGGAGAAAAGAAAAAAAAACAGAGACAACAGATGGATGAAGAAATGTGAAATGGGTGTGTGTGCAAGTGAGAGAGAGAGAGAGTCCATACCACAACTCCATAGCAGCCATGCCACTATTAGAGGTCCCATTTTGAGGTAGAATAAGTAACTTGTAACATATTCCTGTACTTTAAAAGTAGTTATTGTTGGACACAGTTACACTTAAGAACCTTTAATGATTCAGATGTTGCTTTTATAAACAGAAAATCATTGTTTATAGTCAACATGAAGCTCAGAAATGATTTTTGTTGCGTATACAGAAGGTAATCACTTTGTACTGGTTTTGCACATTGATGAAAATACAGGAAAATATAATCCACACACCACTCTAATAAATGTTTCAAGCCTTTTATTCTGCAGAGCACAAGTTAATAATGTACAACTGTCAGCCTCACCACGTACCATCTGCTGAGTGGGTGCAGCCCTCTACCTTTCCTTTATCAAAGAAGCCGTTAGCAGGGGGTTCCCAATTCCTGCCAGAGTCTTATTCCTGTGATTTAAGGAGGAGAAGTCCAGTAAAGTTTGATGGTGGTTAAAGATGGTGGTGCTAGTTGGCGTTGCAGAATATTCCTCGTGGAAGAGAAGATGTTAGAGAGCGGGAACCAGAGCCTGAACACAGCTCCACATGATGCTGATATCCAAATGAGCGGTGAGGATTATAGCCCAGGTAGCGCATGCGTGTTCGCACTGTTGCTACAAACACATGGACACACATTGGTGTAGGGAAGCTCATGTGTAACAAGACATGTGTATTCGCACACGCACACACAACAGGCAGGTGAGTCTCACACCTGCTGTTCGTGTTCATGAACAGTGATGCCGTAAAACCAAAATGTGAGAAACATCGCAGCAAAAAAGCTCACGCAGGACACGACGTGTGTATTCGCACACACATCAGGCAGATGAGTCTCACACCTGCGGTTCTCTTTCATGAACAGTGATGCCGTAAAACCAAAATGTGAGAAACAACGCAGCAAAAAACACTTTTCTCACCAAACTCAGACACGCAGCACGGCTTAGCTGATGTAAGCACTTTTTGTCTTTGCTGACAGCCTCCTCACACCCGACAGCACGCACACACATACAAACAAACAAACACAAACCCAGAGTACCTGTCATTTTCTGTTCTCCAGAAGATTAAAAAAAAGAAAAGAAGAAGCTTCATTTACCCCTGAAGGGTGGTCCACACTATTGCACATGCAGTGGACATTCGGGCAGCGGACGCCACGAGAAGCGAGACGAAAGCATGTGTGTGGAAAAGAGAAGCAGGAGTTATGCAAAACCAATCATGCGGCACAACTTCGTCACTCAATCACCATGCTGCTATTTGAATGAGTAAAACTGGCAAATGCTTATTTGTCAGGAGAAATGCGGCTTCATAATCGGTTTGAACTGTGATTTTAAGTGTGTTCACTTTGAATGTGCATTCGTGTAAAACACACATTTCATTTTGTGTCGCATCACAAGAAGTCAAATCATACTCTGCGAATCGTCAGGCTTATATGAGATACACGTAATAATGAAGAAGAGATTTACAGTACACACACACACACACACACACACACACACACACACACACAATCTGTCATAAACAAATAGTCCTTTGGGAGGAAGTGCAAGGGAGGGAAAGTACCTCATCAAGACAACAACAACATCAGAGGTGCAGGGAGTGACAGCTGCTCACTAACAGAGACACGATGGATCACCTCTGCACCATAACAAACCCAACGCTGCACAGCACGGCAACCATGCACAACGTCTGGTGACAAACAGAGGACAAGAATGTGAGGGACAACATCCTGTTGTTGAAGGGTGGCCTCTTCTACATGATGCACATCACAGTGGTCTCAAAAGCTAAAATACTCTTATTTAAGTGTTTTCCAAATTGTGATTGGTTTTTAAAATGAAAAAAAAAACAATCTTCAAAGGGTTGTATTTGAGCTCTTGTTTCGGTTATTTACAGTTTCGCAGTTTCAACCTCACTCCTCCTCTGGTCGAGCTCAATCTTACTGTGTTGAAGTCATGGTGGGCAAACCTGGAGAAGCTAATAAGCCAGGAGCTAAAGCATGAGTAGCCTACATCTGGACTGAAGGTTAACGTTCCCCTGAATGTCTCTGGTTCACATTGCAGGGGTGTCGCAACAGGGTAGGCAAAGCAGACGATTGCCTGGGGCCCTCCGCTGGGAGAGGGCCCCCCTGAGAATGGCTGATTAAGTTAGTACACAGCAACAACAATTGCCCAGGTCCCTTTTGTCTGAGGCCCCCAAAGTCCTTTGAAACGCCCCTGAGTGCATGTTTCACAAATCAATACAATCTTCAATGGATTTCAGTAGCACCTCCCGTTACAGTAGTTTGTGATTGCACTGCTCAATATTTTTGTTTTAATTTGTCCGACTACATAATTACAAGTAGAATTGTGATTTTTTTTAAACTGCTGAAACAGCAAAGCGTCTGATCAGGCAATTGTGTTTATTGCACACAGAGGGAAGGATTTAGCCATGTTTGTATCCATGGATATTTTACTGTAAACAGAAATCTTGATGAAGATAAATGGATACACTGGTGACTACAACCATCATTTTCACACAAAATGGACTGTATTTTTTAAAATCAGTCTTATCAACCACTGAAAGTACTCTGCAGTGTATGTTGAAATTTACACACAGTTTCATACATGATGCTTTTTCTATCAAACCATTTGTACACTGTCGCTCGTCCATCAGGGGCAGACACTTTGGAATGCAGACTGGAGACACCAGGGATCAAACAAACGACCAAATTAGTTAGTAGATGACCCACTCTACCCTCTGAGCCAGAGTCGACCATAATGCACAAATGCATCTTCAAATGTAGCCATGATTTGGCAACGGAGTTCACCCAGAGTCTTCCTTTCACACATGCACACCACAGTGGGAGGTTTTCTGCACAGGCGCATTCACAACAGCAACAAATCTTCTGCATTTTTCAGGCGAGAGGTGCAGCAGACAGAGACAGGAAGTGACGTATTAAATCTGCTGCAGAGATCACTCGATTTTCTTGACAACACACAGTCACCAGTGTCAGCTCTTATCACCACAAACCCTCTTGACATCTTTGTCAGTGTCTTCTATGTGTGTCACCGCTTTTTCACCGGGAATTTTTTTTTCTTTCTTTTTTGACTCACTTGCGGGTTAGAAGCATCATCAACAATCTCATGTACAGACAAAGTATATGCCAAAGACTTTCTGCAATTGTTTTTTTGTGACATCACATTGCTGCTTTGACTTTATCACTTTTGATTTCTCAGTAAAGAGGCCCAAGTCTTTTGTGGGTATGATAGGAGCAAGAAGCCCTGCCCTGCCACACCCATCCTGAGCACAAACCACACACACACACACACACACACACACACACNACACACACACACACACACATCTGACCACAGTAGGCACATCTCTTGGCCACAATTTACAACAATCAAACCTACCCCACCATGAGCCATGGCCACACCTAGAGCCCCCCCTGCCCTGCTATTATGTAAAACAAAGGTCATGCCTATTTAGAAGTGACATTTAATTTCAATGAGGGTACATGTTTGTTGTTATAGTAGGAATCCCTGACTTGATGTTTAGCTGCATATACATTCTGTGTGTGACATATTTAGTCATTCATAAATGTAGACTATTGATGAGTGAAAGTTGAAAATTACTTACCTCGGGGAACTCATGAGTCAGTCTCACACATAAATGCAAACAGGCGCACACCTGCCCCCAGGGGAAACCACCTCAACGTGCGTCGCCTTAGATAAATTGACTAGTCATTATAATACACAAGATGGCTGCAATAAACATTGACAGGAAACCCCCCTCGCCCATTGTTACATCCAACAATGCCCCCGCGTAGAGGTATTTGTTCTGACTCAGTTGTCATAAGTGTTATTGTTTGACATTTTAGTCAGGTGAGTTATAAAGTTCAGGTCCACAGCCTTCTGGACAGATAACTTCGGGGCATGGAAGAGTTTTTCATATGCAAACACACATGCGCTCATTCTCATGCACAGGTGCTTCCAGGTAGATAACACGGTGTTGGGCAATTTTATCATCAAGGAGGACGTTACAGTTTCTCACCTGCCGTTGTATGAAACTACTTTCCTCTCCATTCTTCACAGCAATAAAAGGAAAATGCTCGTGTCTCCTTTGTTGTCAAGTCCATGATTAAGACCTCTTCCTTTAAAGGGCATTCTAACTGCAGTGGCCTACAACTATTTCATTAAAACTATCATATGAAAAAATGTTTTTAAACATGGACGTTTAAGTGGAGCCACGAACACACTGTTCCTGAAGCAGCCAGAGGCAGACGTTTTCTGGAAGGACATGGTGAGGATTGCAAAACAGGAAACACAGGGCCTTGATAACGCACACACACACACACACACACACACAAGGGCACATACAAAAAGTGTGTGTGTATATGTGTCACAGTGGGGCCTTTCTGATGCTCCACTCTACCCACTTCAGTAAGTACAGTGTGTGTGTGAGTGAGTGAGTGAGTGAGTGAGTGAGTGAGTGAGTGTGTGTGTGTGTGTGTGTGTGTGAGTGAGTGAGTGAGTGAGTGAGTGAGTGTGTGTGTGTGTGTGTGAGATGTGTTTAGAGCCTACTATACGTGCCAAGATGATCACAAGTCTTGCAGGACGAACAGGTACCAAAGGAGGGAGGCCTGTGGGTTAAAAAAGAAAAGAAAAACATGAAGGACAAACACCATAAACGAAAGAAAGTAACATGAGTGAGCACTCATTAAGATGGATGAGCACCTCCTCTTCATCTCTGTTTCTGCAGTGTAATACACATGAACACGCTCATTTGACAGGACGTTGTCTTTTCTGTGAATCGTGGACAAGTTTGAACAAGCAGCCGTCAGCCCGTGATGACACAGTACACACAGATGCTGAACCGGTCAGGCAGCACTTAGAGCAGTGTAACGCTTCACCAGAAAAATGATATAGTTGTGTCATGAGCGAATGATTGTTGCAGTTGTGACAAAAGATCCTAAATCCTGTATGAGGCCACTGCTGTGTTTTTATGCCTGTTAGAACAAAAACAATCATTGTACATAACTCAATCCCACTTTTGAGGTTTCCTCTTTCTTATGGCCTTTTCCTTTCTCGTTTCTTTCATCCCATAGGAATTATTGTTTGTTGGAAATGTATTTTGCACATTTGTTATACTCACTGTTCGTCTAACGTTCTGATCCACTTCTCTTGCTGTATTTCATTGGAACTTTTAGCTTAAAATCTAGTCCGTGTCCAAGTGTTGGGAGTTGTTCTGGTGAAAATAAAAAGGTAACCCCCCAAAATTGGATTTATTAGAACCTTACATTGACAGATAAAGACCTCAGTAGATAACTCATATCACGAGCTGCAGCTGCTTCACAGTCAAAAACCCTTTTCAGACATAAAAACCACAACAGTTAAAGAAATGCCATTTTGTCCTTCAGACACTTCTATCTGTTGTATAATTCTTTGTTATGACTTCATCCAGACACGACAATACCGATTCCAGAAAGCGCCATGCCGCTCATGTGATGTATGGCACCTAGTTTGAGGGAGTGGTGTCACTGCTGGAAAACAGCTGTGATGAAGAATGATTTTTTTTTTCTCTCAGGGTTGACATCAGGAGTGAAAATGTACAGCCAAAACATTGAGGCTGGTATTGTTTTCACCTTGTGACTCATCATGGCAAAATGCGGTCCTGGAAACATCAACTGTAGCCACAGAGGAGGGTTTAAAGTACATTGGCACGTGCATATGTCTGTTTGTTTGTCTGTCTGAGTTACAGTCGTGCAAGATGCAGTCATAAAACTTCACAGGTGTGAAGTTGAGATCAAAATGAAGGCAGATTTTGAAGGTGTAGTTCACTCATTCAATAATGTAGGTTTATTACTCATGGGTTGGAACCGTGTTTCCCTTTGAGAGATGGGACATTTTTTCAAAATTCTTGTTGATTTCTCATAAAATAATTCATCTTGATGATATAAAAATCTGGCATATTTAGGAGATTGATATTTATGAGTGTGTTCTATTTGGTAAAGATCCAAATTAAAATCTTTATCTAGGGAATTTAAATGTGGTTTTGTAAGAGGACGATTGGGCCTTGGCAGAGGTATGAACTTTAAGTATTTTATCAAAGACAACATGTTGTGTGTAATGTAAAAGGGCTTGTGTCAGGTGAAAGGCAGTGGGTGAGGGAGAGGTTGTTTTGAGTTATTGCAGAAAACTGGCTGCTGCTTCACAACCAAAGAGTGTTTAACTGGTTTCTTTATCCCTAAAAACAAACATTCAAACCACTACAGTACAAATACAAATATTCTTTCCTTTTAAATCAGCTGCAAAGTAAAAAAAGAAAAATTCCTTGAGAAGCTGGAACCCACAACAACATTTATATGGACCCTGTTACTTAAGAGAAACACTATATGCAAATGTATGGTTTTGTCTTACAGTACATGCTGTGGTATGGATCCATGAATGTGTGTTTGTGTGTGTTTGGGGGGGGTTCCCTCTGGAACAGGATATAGCTGTGCAAACACCTAAATGACTCTTTTGCTTGTGTTTGCACAAGAGATGCAGCAGAAAAAAAGCAGATCCTTCAAGTTGAGCCTCAGGTCCAGTGTACCCATGAGGGGGACTATACCACAACCTGTCAGTCTGAGGACCAGGAGATTAAATCTGAGTTTGGGATTTACTTTATCATAAAATAAACCTCCAGGCGCACGTTGAAAAAAGGTGAAAACCTTTTACAAATATAAAAATGAATGGATAAGTTGGCAAGCAAATGATGCAGAATGCAAAACTATGCAAATAAGATGCAAAGGGTGAGTCACTGTTGATGATGGAAAATTTATATTTGGCCCAGAGACACATTGACGTGATACTTAGCAATTATATTAAATGTGACTGATCCTAATGTTCCATTATGATTATTACTATCCAGTTATGACAGTAACTAAACACATTTACTGTTTATTTGCTTTTGTACTAGACTACATGCCACTACATGAATTTAGACAGCATATGAAACATCCTTGACCCCTATGTTGGAGATACTTCTTAAATATTGATGCATCACTATCAGTCATAGAGGCACTTTTTCTTACTTTTATCTTTACCCTCCAGTTATCCTCAAATTTAATAACATCGTTTATCCTAGGGGTCATTTTGACCCCAAAAATTAAACCATCAAAATCCTCCCACCCACTGAATATATCTAATTTAAATGAATTGATTGATAAATTGACTATATATCTGTAGTAATAATACAAACACAATATTTCTGTCTATAATGTGTTGTCAACAACAAGCAAAGGCACTTTACATCGAGTAAAAACAGAGAAGAGCAAATAAGACCAGATAAATATTAAGTTCCCATCATTAAGAGTCCTGAGCTATTTTTTACACCCTTTTAAAAAATGTTAAACATGTGAATGTTTGGTATCTTATTGCCTATATGACAAGACAACTCATATTTCACTAAAAACACCCCAAAACCTCAAATTTGATTTTGGGTTTTTTCTTTACAAAAACAGCAAACATGCTCAACGAATCATTTTGAAAGTTGAATATGTAAACAAAGGTTGTATATTGGAAAGTATAACTGTAAAACTGATATTACATTAAGTAAACTATATTGACTATTTGAAATAAAAAGCAGGTAATCACAGGTGTTTCTTTCTTTGCAGTATTTATACTCTCATATCTCCACTTTTACTTGACCTATCAACCCTAAACAAAACTAGCAGCTATGAGCACCTTCGACTTCAGTTGAATACAGCGCCCCACATTTGTTTTTACGTTGTGAGGTCTAGAACCAGTCATTTGACTGCAGAGGCCTGATCTGTGACCCGAGAGTTAATCACACATTAAAAGTAGTTTTGTGCATCTCTCACACAGTTTCCCTCGTATTCCAACACCAAGGTTTTTGTTTCAGTTGTTCCCTCCAGAGAGAGGTCAAAAGTCAGGGTCAGTCACAGTTAGACACCTCGGACATGTCGTCCAGGCAGGTGTTTGTCATCAGCATAAATAAATTATGTGATAAACAAAGTACTCATTAAAGATATAATCAACTAGGCGTGCTCTTAATCAGCTCATAATTCCCCTGTATGTTCCTCAAAAGAGGAGGATGAGGCGATGAAGGAAATACATCCCTTCAGATCCAGCTGATAAATGGTGACAAAGAACAGGTTTGACAGCCATGACTTTATCCTCGCAGCCAGGGATGGATGGTTGGTAAGAAGACAGGAAGGTGAGAAAAAAAATAAAGTCACGTCACTGGCAATTCCATGTACTTTAGTGGGTCACGTGAGATGCGGCAGGTGAACCACACCCTGGCACATAAAGCAAATGTGCATTTAAGCTTTTACGCTGAGTCAGTTCACGGCATTAAGGGCCTGTCTCCAAGCTGAACACATCTCAGTAGACAGTTATGAAAAGAGGTGGCCAGCTGATGCCTATCTGGGCTTTTTTCTCATGAATCTCACACTTAATCCCTCTAGATCAGTAACTAGACATCAGGCTGCCAAACAACCACCCTGCCCACCTGTAATGCATCGAAACATGCCCCTAGTGTTCCCATGCTGCTCCACAGTATGTATCTATATATCCATCTCCCCCGTCTCCCTCACCTGTCCCCGTTCCTTTTTTTCCTCCTGGACCGAAAAACGCCGGAGGTTTTTCTCGTGGGAAACTCTCGGGGAGGTATGTTGCTCCGTGAGCAGGGAGTGAGAGAGGAATCCCGTTTTTCTGGGTTTAAACTCATCACTCCCTGTTCCGCGATCCCATCCCAGGCTCGGTGTCACAACCAGCATCGTGTCAGGACTCGCCGCGGTGTTAGGAAACTCTCGCCCTGTTCTCGCTCAGCCGGATCTCTGGGTTTTGGTTGCACACAGTAACCTATGCACTATTTCACTCTCGACTCTGATCCCCTTCTAAATCCGTCTGTGTTTTTAAACATCCTTGTTTTAATCGCCATTGTTTTCCTTCTTTCCTTTTCCAAGATAAAGCAGAATTTCAAATCTACATTTCCATGGAAGGAACAAATTGCCATGTATACATTCAAACTATATGATTTGTTCAATTCATGGGCAACATTTTACAATGATTTTGAGGAATTAAAGTAGTTCATATTGATGGATGTTGAATAACTTAAGCTTTATTGTTAAAAGAGAATAAGAATCATTTATATAACCTGAGATCCTTCCCTCTGTTGGGAAGGATCAAACTCCCCACTCCAGTCAATCAAGGACTTTTCCAGAAGTCACATGGTTTTCAGTAAGGAGGTTCATTACTAAAGAGAATAAAACAACTATCTAGATATGGATTTTTTTTCAAATGTAGAAAAGATGGTTATGGTCACATAATGTCACTGTAATGATGTGTTTTATGGGATATTGTCAATGGAGTAAACAATTAAAAGTGTCAAATGCATGTTACCACCCAGTATGAAAAATAACATATTGTATTTGTTTCAATGTTGATGAGAAAAGGAAGATGTACCATGTATGAAAAGTACAATAATTTATCCATGAAGGGAGAATAGATGCACCTTCGTCAGAGAGAGATAATAATCTAATCCATAATCTATACCATGGTTATTGTTGCTCAAAATAAATGGCCACAGTCAGAAAAAGATCATCTCATTTTTGTTAAAGGTTTTTGTGGTGTGCGTACTTATGAACACTGAAGGAAGTCAGTGTGTTCAGAATGAAACCTTTGTGTTCTTCTGATTTTGGAAAAATTACAAATACCGTCAAGACGCGACCCCTACGATTACTACGTCAGGTATAGGGGAAAAGTTCTTTAAAATTCTGACAGGTACCCTTGAAATGTTTAACCTTATCTTCTACATCAGCATAAAGCTGCTAATTCCGCCTTCAAACTGAAGGGGAGATTGCACTGAAATGTACTTTTACCCTTTGGAATTCCTGTCAGCATTCAGATGTCACATATGTTAAATGTGGATGTAACAGTTGGGTGTTGGATTTGATGATGGATTTGATGATTAAATCATTTGAACGTGACTGTGCCTACAGATGGAATGTTTCTGACAGTTGATTAAATCAGACAAGTCAGTGTCTGAAAACATCTAGATCTGTATAACAAGACTTGGACACTTCATGATATCAACAAATATGGATAACAGGAAGATACAGTCTCTTCTGCACACTTCCTCATTCCTCGTCTCCTCTCCTCGTTTCCCAGAAAGTCAAACGGAAACTAGGATAAATGATAAAGGAGGAACCCTTGTGTTTGTGTCTCTCTCTTTTTAATACATATATTTATATTTGTTTGTGCTTTTGTAGGTCCAGTGTGTAAGATTTAGGTGAAAGGGAACTATTGGAAGAAATCTTATGTAGAATAATCCTCATGATGTTTTCACTAGTTCGTTTCATCTAAATTGTATGAATTGTAGTTTTCTTTACCCAATGAAAAGGCCATTTATATTCAAATACTTTATATTTACATCGAGGGGACCCTCTCTACGGAGGCCGCCAAACTAAACACCTTTTGAGTTTTAATGACAACTGAAGGCTTCCACAGGTTCTTTTTCATGTTTGGAAGACACTAGATATCACAACATTCTACACACTGTACCTTTAATTATAATCAACCTAGAATACCAACACACCACCTTTGTAAATGTTCTGGAATTTTGAATATTTATCACAAAAGGTCATTTTAAGTTTAACGCAACTGAAAGGAGACCACAGACATAAGCCACTGATGTATTATGAAATATGTTCAATCCACATTTCGTTGTTCGGTATTTCATTTAAGAAGCACAGCAGGTTCACATCCCCATACTACTTTCAGAATCCCATTGTTAAACCGATACGCAGATATAATTTTAGTTTCTGTTTTGTATCAAAATCTATAAAAGCCATGGTAGCAAGGAGATAAACAACCAATCAGAGAGCAAACCACAAAGACACAGACAGGTGGAGCGACGAGCAAGCTGAATGACCATATGTCCAAACTCCCGTGGAAAGTAAGACACTGACAACAAGAAAGGGAGACAAAGATAGAAGCCAAAAGTGAGGATGAGAGAAATGAATGAAGCGAACACGACACAGACTCACACTGAGATGACACAAGAGCAGCCGACGTCCTTTCGCTTCGTAGTGCAGAGTCGGAAAAACGGCAGGAAACCAAATTATTCCCTGGACGTGAGACTAGAGCTGCGAATGAACGGACGAGTAGAGAGTGGACAAGAGGAGACAACAGGAAGTGATTGAAATCAGATGGCGGAAGTGTATGACGGAGACGCAGCAGCGCTTCCTAGGTCACACACAAACACGCGTGTGCATACATGCACGTTTTGTTGACTAACACAAACGATGATGCAAGTGACACCGTGGTGACATAACCACAATTACACATGAAACTTACATATGACAGAAGGTGTTTTCTGCTTCTGATATGATTTCACTTTTAAATATTTGTCTTACACTTACATCTTTCATGTGAGTAGACTGGAGCCCATCGAGGGGAAGGTCACGGGAATGGTCACGTGAAGAGCTCGGGAGCTGTTGGGAAATAAAAAATAAGACTAAATTTAAGTTTATCTGGAAGCGGTTTGATTGAAAAGGGGGAACCATCTTTATTCTATTGTTTAATCAGCTTGTGGAGAAACTCTTATAAGAGGAAGTTTGATACAGGGGGAAGAAAAACTAAACATCCAGTTATTTTATATGTTTCACATTAGCAGCGGAGCTTTGGGTGTATCCATCTTAATGCAATATGCACGCAACAACAATACACACACAAGTGCACCCGCCCTGTGGCACATCCACAAAAGAAAAAGAGGAAATTCTCTTTCAATGAGGTGAACAATACTTGACATATCTTGACATAGTTTTACTACACACTTCCCCTCTTTGTGTCAACTTCCCCACAGTTTTCACTACCATACTACTAGAGGCTGGATATGAATGAAGAAAGACGCACTCACACACATATGCAGAGGGAGAGAGAACAAGAAGAGCTGTTTTGCAATTGGAAAGAGGAAGGTGCATGTGTCACTCATTCTTTTGTGATGCAACATGGACAACTCAATGAACGCGCGCACACACACACACACACACACACACAGGCCCACATTACCTCCGTCTCTTATCCAATCTCTTATGCAAAATTTATTAGATCCCCTGGGTACATTTTCATGACAAAACGCCCTTGTTAGCCCAGGGACAACGAGGAATCTGACGGGGCATGATGGAGCATGCAAGCAAGAATCCCTCTACACACACACACACACACTCGTTAGAGCTGACCCACCCCACTGTGTGTGCACTCAAGTCACCCATCTCTGTCTGCGTCCACCTCACTGGCAAAGCAGATTTGCATAGAAATTTGCAAGTGAAATGAGATTCATGGAAAAGGAGGAGTGTAGCTTTGTAGAGAAAACTCCCCGAGAATTCCCCTCATCCAGAGGCCATTTGATTACAAAAAAAACAAAACACTGACACCCACTCACATCTGGCTTTTGTCTTCATGGTAAGAGGGCACAATCAGCAAGACTGCAGTATAGTCACTGGTATTTCTCGGCTCCAGCCCTGACCTGCAGTGAGGTAAACATGACACCTGGGCCGGTACTATTAAGTAGGAATTGCAATTATCAAGGAAACTTCAGGTTAAAAAAATGTTTTCAGTCCTACGAAGCTGTTCCAATTCTTAATGGTGTCAATCTCCATGGTAACTAAGGTCATAGTCGCACATATGCAAATGTATCAGCGAACCCTCCACTCAACGAGAGCAAGAGGGCAAACAAAACATCTGCTTCCTGCGGCAATGCAAATGTGCAGCATGGCTTCGAGTCTAGCTCAGGTTTGGTGATCTTCCTGTTTGTGTAACAGTGCCCTGATGCTGCTCCTCTAACCTGAAATCGGTAAATGGTCAAAATAATGACCAATCAGATCCCTGTTTATTGACTTTTCGTGCTACCACTCTTGTTTTGAATAAGAGTTCAAAGTGAGACGTAATCATACTCATTGAATGAATATGACATCTTAATTTGAATTCAGCCAAGATTCTGTGATTTTGAATCCCTGACCGTGTTGTTTTAATTTCCACTCCATGGCACCTTTACTTTTGCAATTCTGCTCGCACTTGCATAATACTAAAAGCTTTCTATTCTAAAAAACTAAGACACATGACATGTATAAAATCATAAACACGCTGTACATTAATGAATAGTTCCCATGACTATAAATCTTGATCAGTCTTGACATTATTTGACAGTCTATTAATAATAGCTTGTTATCGTCAGGCAAAAAGAGCAAGAACACTAGGTAATCAATAATAAACTTCATAAATCCAGGATCACTGCTGCGGCCACATGGTGGTTAATGATGTTGGGTCTTAGATTGTAATCATGGATCATAGATCATAATCTGAGATCGTCATGGTGGATCATGATCCTGTTGGCAGCGGATCATAGATAGTGGTGATGGATCATGACGATGGATTGTGGTGGCATCAGATCTTAGATTACAACAAGGCTGCTTGACAGACAATAATACACCATTAGAGGTTTTTTTGGGTAGTTTTGTTCTTACTCTTGTTGAGGGTTAAGGACAAAGGATGTCTCATCTTGTTAAGCCCTATGAGACAAATTGTGATTTGTGAATATGAGCTGTATTAAAACTTGATTGATGATTGATCAAATTAAATTAAAAAAAAATAAAAAATAAATGTAATGATCAACGATCATTTGGAGTTGTTCTTCTTTATTCTAGTTGTTTACATTTCACTTTGGACTGCACCAACCTGGAGCTATGGGGGTTTCTTCTCATATCACATTAACACATGTATTCATTGATTCAATGACTCACCTGTGGCCGGGGATTAAATTGGCGCTAATTGTCAAACTTCTCCCGCAATGTGTCCAGCACACGTCTCCGTGCACCGTGGTGACGTTAAACCATAAACACCGCAACACACCTTCCTTTAACCGGCTACACAGATATGCTAACGACGCTAGTCATGCTACCTCTCTGCTAGCCGCACGAGGGCCTGCAGAAGGTGCGGGACAGCTATGCTAAGGACGCTAGCCATGCTAAGTAACTGCTAGCCGCTACAGATTGTGTGCTATGTCCTAAAAGAAAAAAACTTAAGACTACTTCCCCTGTCTGTCTGTCTGTCTGTCAGCTAGCTGCTCACCATCGGTATGAATAGGAAGACAAACTGGTCAACTGGCAAAGTGAAAGGTGCATGACCTCTGCAGCAGGTTTACAAACATGCATGTGCTCATTTAGTTTTTTAAAAAGTCATGAGACTCCAGACTGACATGATCAGTGCAGTATTTTATTTTATTAGACTGTGATCTTGGTTTTTTAAATGCATAGGCCTACTGGTTTTTATTGCATTCATCTGAAAGTGGATGATATACAATGATGCATGTACTCAAGTTAATGATATTATAC